GAATATGGCGACGACGTGGCCAGCGTTACTCAGACCAATGTGTTATGGAAAGAGACTCATGGGTAGGTGCAAGCATCATGGTATGGAGTTGGAATAGGCCTGAACCAGAGAGTGGATCCTTTGATGTTCCAGAACCTTGGTCCAGGGAGAGGAGGCGGCACCACAGCGGTGCGCTACATCGACCAAGCTCTCGGACCCCCACGTCATACCACATTTCGCACGTCACCGGAACAACATTTTCCAGCATGATAACGCCCGGGCCTATACTGCCAGAGCTAAACGGGACTTCCTACAGCACATGTGTGTCAACACTATGTAGTGGCCAGCCCTTAGTCCTGATTTAAACCCAATTGAACATCTTTGGGATGAAATTCAGAGGAGACTGAATAATGTCATACCAAGGCCGAACACAGCCGATTTATTGCGCCAGCCCTTTCTCAGAATGTGGTTCAAGGTGTCAATGGCCTTCATCAATCGATTGGTGCACTCCATGCATAGACGCTGTGCTGCAGTTATTGCCGCTCGTGGTGGTCACACTAGATACTGAAGTCAAGAGTTTGAATGGACTGCAAACGTTTACCTAATGTCTTGAAATTAGGCTGAGTTATTCATTGATGTGTCAAGACATTGTACACGAAAACATGTTTTTGATCCGCTTATTATGTCCATTTCTGTAATGATTTGATTACAGGGCCTGTATAATTTTTGAATTCGTACTGACGTTTCTTTTGCTGCTGAGCATATATCAATATTGTAATATTCACATTACACCACTAGAACACAGCATCACTGTACTCAAGTGTAGCTGCCATAAAGTTTCCGAGTCCTGTGCTGGGATTCGAACTACGGACCTTCTCATCCGAAGTCGGACGCCTTGTCCACATAACCAAAGAGGTTAGCCCCGTCAGCAAGCTGACAAGGTAAAGATGTCTTCTGTGGGATGACTCCATGCCCTGATGCATAAGTTCACCTATCATAAGACAGAAATACAAGACGCCCGATGTCATTCAATGTAGAATTGAAGCAAGGCTTTTAACTGTTGTCCCTTTGCCAAGAACTGTTATAATTACACTGCTAGTTAGTTCTGGTGTCCGTGGTTTCCGTGTCGCCACAGAGCACAATCAGTCACAGAGCTGCCAAGCAACCCTGTGGTGCAATAGCATGCAAACACTCTCAGGTTGCTTTAATCTGCAACGTGACTTGAGAGTATGACAGCATTCGTCTTCGAACACAAGCCCTGAGTCCTTTCATATTTGTTACACGAAGCATTTGTCCTTGCTGCCGCTGTTTGCATCGCGCCTATAAACCAGTCTGTCAGCAGTTTCTAGAAGACTGAGACAGACTCCATAACGCGTAGGAAGCGTTATGTGATCGTACTTTTGACCGGGGAACACTTTCCTCAGAGTAGCAGTAGGTCTTTAACGTTATTTCTAGCAAGCACATCCCCATCCACGCTGTGCTGTAAAAAATCAAGTACATTTTCACCTGAAAGGTACAAATGAGGGTCTAGTGTGACGCAAACCATCTTGCTCAGTCATTAGCGTACCGTGAAATGGTAGTGTTATAATCAGACTTGTAATGATTATCTCTGGGAAATAGGATTTGCTTTTTACCAAAAAAAAAGAAAAAAAAAGAAAAAAGAAAAAAAGAAAAGAAAAACATAACATCTGCCAAACCACGTTTCAGAATAATAACATAATTCGCTTTCATTCTTGAGCATATGTCCATGGCCCTTTTCTACAGGATTTCAAAAGTTAACAAAAATAAAGTAAAAAATGTATGTCTTACGCCAAATCCCTGTCTCAAGGAATAACCTCATTTTCTACTTTCCCCCAAAACATTTAAATGAACTAGGCCTGATCATTATGATATAATGTTTGGAGATGGACTTGTGCCCCAAAACTCATCTTTTCTGATGAAAACACCCCAACTTATTAAGTATTTTCTTTGTGCATTAGTGTACATTTCTTTCGGGAGGCCTTTTGTCATACTAAAACTAGTTGTGACAAGAGAGATTAATGTCAAGTGGAGTTTCAAATACTCTAAGGAAATGTTTGTTATCAGTCTAATAAAATAACTTCAATGATATGATCAAAACGTTTGATTTTTTCAGCTTTGTAGGCAGCTGTCCACCGCGACCAAATAAAGGCTAAGCTTTGTAGCAACCCACTATGTAATAACAACGCACTTTGTAATAAAATTTTCAGAGTCCAAAAACATTTCGGACTTAGGCGATTTTATTACATAACGGGTTATTACAAACTGCGTTACACCAGTAGCAACCCACTATGTAATAACGACGCACTATGTAATAAAATTTTCAGAGTCCAAAAACATTTCGGACTTAGGCGATTTTATTACAAAGCGACTTGGTACATTTGCCTAAGGCTTGAAAATGACTGAAAATCAAAGTTGAAGATATTTCTACCGGTGAGGACAATATGTGTTCTACACCCTTAATTAAGTGTAAACTTCAGCTTAAACCCGTTCCATCATATGAACTGTTAATATTTCGGGAGTTTTCTGATGGTTTATTACAAACCGCGTTGGTATTACATACCGGGTTGAGTAGCGAAATGTAATAAGATTTTGCACATCTTAACGCATTATGTAATAAAACTTACAAAGTGCCAAACGTCACCCTTAAGAAGATATTCCTTTAGGTGTTTTCTGGTAGTCGTAATCGGTCTAGTAATAATTGTTTTATTCCATTAAGGGGCCACAGGCCAATTATACAGTTACATGAGTCATATCATGAAAGTGGAAATCTGGAGCATCACAACACTGTACAAGGTCAATAAACATACACTTAATGGGTTGTACAAGATTTGTTAAGGTAATTGTTGCGTTGTTTGGATGCAAGGAACAGAAACTCGCTAAACGATTTAAAATACCTAAATCGTGTGATGTGCAAAGTAATACGAGTTTATCATAAGAAGGATGAGTACGATAGAACTCAGGCAAAATTGTACGTCTGAGATTATAGTAAAAAGGACATTCCAAACACATGTGATATTCTGTCTCAATTACAGGTATAACACAAAATGGACATAATCTAGAATTTCTTGTCAGACCAGATTTTCTTCCGGACTGTATCATTAACTGATGGCCTGAACAGCGAAATATTATGAGAGCCTTACGATAAGCTGGTACATAGTCGTAGTGGTAGTCGAAGTGGTAGTCGAAATGGAAGTGGATGTTGTAGTGGTGGTTGTAGTCACGGTGGTCTTTGGTATAGTCCGTTAGGCTCAAAAGCGGACCGATGAATTAATAAAATACTCAAGGAAACGCTGATCATAATCAAAACATCATACCAACTCTGTGATTTGTTTGCAGAATTTATGTCCTAAAAATAAAAAAGTTGTTTAACAATCTATCATTAAAATATTGACACAGTTCACTATTTGTTACGAGGGAGGACTGCAGAGAAAGGGACAGCCAGGTGTTCGAGAACGGATGGAGACGGCACGGCACTGGTTAATGAATAAATAACGTCTGTGAACGTGCTTCTCGAACACATGGCTGTTGGTATGATGTTTTGATTATGATCAGCGTTTCATTGAGTATGTTCTGTTTATTAGTTTTCGAGTTAGATTGCAATTCATCGGTCCGCTTTTGAGCCAAGCGGACTGTAGTCGTGGCAGAAGTCGCGGTGGTCTTAGTGGTGGCCGTAGTGGTAGTCTAAGTGGTAGAAATTGTAGTGAGGCGAGGTGAAATTGGGTTTAACGTCGCTCTGTAGAATATTTCAATCATATGACGACGTGCATGCGTGTGTATGTGAAGGTGCGGTTGCTTGTACTAGCCCTGACTGAAGCTGGTTTTATAGTGCCAAAACGTCTTTGGGTCCCTAGCGACTGTTTTTGCACCGCTATTAACTTATGCCCTTCCCATTAAATGTATCTAGTTATTTAATATACAGTACTTGAAGAATTCTAGATGTTTTCCGCCATATAGCTGGAATATTACTGAGTGCGGCGTAAAATTAAACTCATTCACTCACTCACTAACGAGATGTGTTCATCTCATTTAGAGCTTACCTCTTACCGAACAATTGGTAAGATCATCTATATAACCCGACCATAAAATGACCCGAACCATACTTGGACCATACAAGTGTTTATCTTTATTGGATCGCTTATTTTTGTCTTCGTTACATGTCAATTTCTCTCTGCTTGTTGTTGCCTGGGTGCTGTGCTGTGCTAAAGTGTTATTACAAGGGTGCTCTGATTGGTGCTTGGGAATTATGGGAATTTGAAATTAGCCATTTAAAAGCTAGGAATTAGAGTCATGTGATAAACAATAATCCAGAATGAGACCATACTTTAGATCCAGCATATTTTGTGAATCCTAAACATAATAAGAACGTTTCAGATGAATGAAATTCATTTGAAATACTTGACAAATACAACCAAATATCAATATGATTGACATATGCATAAAACCACAAACTTTAGAACACTACCACCAACCTTCAATATTTTTAGTGACCTTTTAATGACTTATATAATATTTTAATTCTTATTTTACTTGCAAACAATAAAACACTATAACACCATTTTATATTCAATAATTGTAAAATAGTTCTATACACACAAACCAAACTGACTTATTAAAAACATGAAAAACGTCTCTGCTACATAAAACGTATGACATAAGCAAGGTCTTTGTGTAACAGCTCGTCTGAAAAGACTTTACTTAGGGTAAGTAATTATACCTGATGTCGAATGTTTACATTTTCTTAATGCAGCCTACACTGAACGTTGTTTGCTGTTTAGTTTAAATCGATGGTTGAGTCCGTTCTATAACATGAACATAAAATTTTCGAGTCAAAAACGTATGTCATAGGCAACCTCCTTTTTGAACATCACTTCAATCGAATGAACTTGGCTCAGAAAATATGCATTTTGTCAAAAGTTTACATTTTTGTTAATTCTGGCGTACTTTCGTAATTTGTTCAAGTTGAAGCTACACTGAACATTTGTTCTACAAACGTTGTCCAGTGAATCTGAAGCCAGTTGTGAAATTGATGGCACGAGGAAACACATAGAGAGCAGCTGTGGAGAAGCAAGGTACACAGACAACAATGAGGATAGAGAATATTTGAGAGATAGCCCCATGGACAACGAGTTGGATTATCAGAAACAGAATGGGATGATGACGCACATGCAGGTGAGTACAGTGATCGTGACATCGAAAGATATAGCAAAAGAAATGCTGGAGAAAATATAGACAGACACAGGCAGACTGATCACGATGCAAATACAGATGGAAATACAGATGAAGATAGAGAAACTGAGCTAGCTACAGATGAAAATAGAGACACAGATCAAAGCTCATATGGAGATAGAGACATAACTCAAAAAAGAGACGAAGACACAGACATAGATAGCGATACAGATGATGATGTAAACATAGATAGAAGTTCAGACTCGGTTCGAAAACTGATGAAGATAGAGACATAGATCGGAATACAGAGGAAAAACAGCGACTCAGATCATGATACAGATGGAGATAGAGACACAGATCAAAGTACAGATGAGGACAGTGAAATAGATCAAGGTACAGATGAGGACACAGACTCAGGGACAGATAAGTATAGGGCCATAAATCAAAGTACAGATGAAGACAGAGACTCGGATCAAGATACAGATGTAAATAGAGAAATAGATTTATGTAGAGATGAGGACAGAGACACAGGTACAGATAATGATAGAGACATAAATCAAAGTACAGATGAGGACAGAGACTCAGATCAAGATACAGATGAGGACAGAGACTCAGATCAAGATACAGATGAGGACAGAGACTCAGATCAAGATACAGATGAGGATAGAGACTCAGATCAAGATATATAGATGAGGACAGAGACTCAGATCAAAACACGGACAAATATAAAGTTGCAGATCGAAATATTGTCGAGGAAAGAAACACTGATCGAAAACCTGATGAAGAAAGAGACTCAGAGCAAAACACAGACGAAGATAAAGACCAATATCAAAATGCAGATGAAAACGGTGGCGACGAAGGTATAGATTCAAACAGCGACAGTGCACGATCGAGCAGATACGAACGGCGCAAGACAAGTAGATGAATTAGATTCAATGGAGTCGGGTAATGGAAACAGTGGGGAGGATTACCCTTTTTCTTCCTGATTTAGTTCTAGATAGAATTATCAGGACAACTGTTCAAAGGTATCCTTTATGGTATTTACATTGAGGCAAGTGTGCCCTTTCTTCAGAAATACAGTAGAAGCAATAGGATACCCAATGATCCACTTGAATCCCGCTGTAATTGGTCACGTTCCTGGACATATAAGTGTAATGTGATTGTACGTCAGATATGGCAGAGGAAGTGGATTAGTCATGTATGTCAGAAGTATCTGTTCTGGTTCAAATAGACCATGGATTCATGCATGGCTTACACTTCGCCAGCTTAACCATGACTGGTACGAAATAACGGCAATTCATTGGCGCTGATTGCATTCACTCGAGACACTGAAACTTACTAACAGACTAGACGAGTTCATTCATGGGAATTTGTGTTTGGGATCTTAGTTTTGTTGCAAGGCAGCAACAGTAGAGAACTTTGAGGTAAACTTTGAGATGTGTTCATCTCATTTAGAGCTTACCTCTTACCGAACAATTGGTAAGATCATCTATATAACCCGACCATAAAATGACCCGAACCATACTTGGACCATACAAGTGTTTATCTTTATTGGATCGCTTATTTTTGTCTTCGTTACATGTCAATTTCTCTCTGCTTGTTGTTGCCTGGGTGCTGTGCTGTGCTAAAGTGTTATTACAAGGGTGCTCTGATTGGTGCTTGGGAATTATGGGAATTTGAAATTAGCCAATTAAAAGCTAGGAATTAGAGTCATGTGATAAACAATAATCCAGAATGAGACCATACTTTAGATCCAGCATATTTTGTGAATCCTAAACATAATAAGAACGTTTCAGATGAATGAAATTCATTTGAAATACTTGACAAATACAACCAAATATCAATATGATTGACATATGCATAAAACCACAAACTTTAGAACACTACCACCAACCTTCAATATTTTTAGTGACCTTTTAATGACTTATATAATATTTTAATTCTTATTTTACTTGCAAACAATAAAACACTATAACACATTTTATATTCAATAATTGTAAAATAGTTCTATACACACAAACCAAACTGACTTATTAAAAACATGAAAAACGTCTCTGCTACATAAAACGTATGACATAAGCAAGGTCTTTGTGTAACAGCTCGTCTGAAAAGACTTTACTTAGGGTAAGTAATTATACCTGATGTCGAATGTTTACATTTTCTTAATGCAGCCTACACTGAACGTTGTTTGCTGTTTAGTTTAAATCGATGGTTGAGTCCGTTCTATAACATGAACATAAAATGTTCGAGTCAAAAACGTATGTCATAGGCAACCTCCTTTTTGAACATCACTTCAATCGAATGAACTTGGCTCAGAAAATATGCATTTTGTCAAAAGTTTACATTTTTGTTAATTCTGGCGTACTTTCGTAATTTGTTCAAGTTGAAGCTACACTGAACATTTGTTCTACAAACGTTGTCCAGTGAATCTGAAGCCAGTTGTGAAATTGATGGCACGAGGAAACACATAGAGAGCAGCTGTGGAGAAGCAAGGTACACAGACAACAATGAGGATAGAGAATATTTGAGAGATAGCCTCGGACAACGAGTTGGATTATCAGAAACAGAATGGGATGATGACGCACATGCAGGTGAGTACAGTGATCGTGACATCGAAAGATATAGCAAAAGAAATGCTGGAGAAAATATAGACAGACACAGGCAGACTGATCACGATGCAAATACAGATGGAAATACAGATGAAGATAGAGAAACTGAGCTAGCTACAGATGAAAATAGAGACACAGATCAAAGCTCATATGGAGATAGAGACATAACTCAAAAAAGAGACGAAGACACAGACATAGATAGCGATACAGATGATGATGTAAACATAGATAGAAGTTCAGACTCGGTTCGAAAAACTGATGAAGATAGAGACATAGATCGGAATACAGAGGAAAACAGCGACTCAGATCATGATACAGATGGAGATAGAGACACAGATCAAAGTACAGATGAGGACAGTGAAATAGATCAAGGTACAGATGAGGACACAGACTCAGGGACAGATAAGTATAGGGCCATAAATCAAAGTACAGATGAAGACAGAGACTCGGATCAAGATACAGATGTAAATAGAGAAATAGATTTATGTAGAGATGAGGACAGAGACACAGTACAGATAATGATAGAGACATAAATCAAAGTACAGATGAGGACAGAGACTCAGATCAAGATACAGATGAGGACAGAGACTCAGATCAAGATACAGATGAGGACAGAGACTCAGATCAAGATACAGATGAGGATAGAGACTCAGATCAAGATATAGATGAGGACAGAGACTCAGATCAAAACACGGACAAATATAAAGTTGCAGATCGAAATATTGTCGAGGAAAGAAACACTGATCGAAAACCTGATGAAGAAAGAGACTCAGAGCAAAACACAGACGAAGATAAAGACCAATATCAAAATGCAGATGAAAACGGTGGCGACGAAGGTATAGATTCAAACAGCGACAGTGCACACACGATCGAGCAGATACGAACGGCGCAAGACAAGTAGATGAATTAGATTCAATGGAGTCGGGTAATGGAAACAGTGGGGAGGATTACCCTTTTCTTCCTGATTTAGTTCTAGATAGAATTATCAGGACAACTGTTCAAAGGTATCCTTTTATGGTATTTACATTGAGGCAAGTGTGCCCTTTCTTCAGAAATACAGTAGAAGCAATAGGATACCCAATGATCCACTTGAATCCCGCTGTAATTGGTCACGTTCCTGGACATATAAGTGTACGTAGATTGTACGTCAGATATGGCAGAGGAAGTGGATTAGTCATGTATGTCAGAAGTATCTGTTCTGGTTCAAATAGACCATGGATTCATGCATGGCTTACACTTCGCCAGCTTAACCATGACTGGTACGAAATAACGGCAATTCATTGGCGCTGATTGCATTCACTCGAGACACTGAAACTTACTAACAGACTAGACGAGTTCATTCATGGGAATTTGTGTTTGGGATCTTAGTTTTGTTGCAAGGCAGCAACAGTAGAGAACTTTGAGGTAAACTTTGAGATGTGTTCATCTCATTTAGAGCTTACCTCTTACCGAACAATTGGTAAGATCATCTATATAACCCGACCATAAAATGACCCGAACCATACTTGGACCATACAAGTGTTTATCTTTATTGGATCGCTTATTTTTGTCTTCGTTACATGTCAATTTCTCTCTGCTTGTTGTTGCCTGGGTGCTGTGCTGTGCTAAAGTGTTATTACAAGGGTGCTCTGATTGGTGCTTGGGAATTATGGGAATTTGAAATTAGCCAATTAAAAGCTAGGAATTAGAGTCATGTGATAAACAATAATCCAGAATGAGACCATACTTTAGATCCAGCATATTTTGTGAATCCTAAACATAATAAGAACGTTTCAGATGAATGAAATTCATTTGAAATACTTGACAAATACAAACCAAATATCAATATGATTGACATATGCATAAAACCACAAACTTTAGAACACTACCACCAACCTTCAATATTTTAGGTGACCTTTTAATGACTTATATAATATTTTAATTCTTATTTTACTTGCAAACAATAAAACACTATAACACCATTTTATATTCAATAATTGTAAAATAGTTCTATACACACAAACCAAACTGACTTATTAAAAACATGAAAAACGTCTCTGCTACATAAAACGTATGACATAAGCAAGGTCTTTGTGTAACAGCTCGTCTGAAAAGACTTTACTTAGGGTAAGTAATTATACCTGATGTCGAATGTTTACATTTTCTTAATGCAGCCTACACTGAACGTTGTTTGCTGTTTAGTTTAAATCGATGGTTGAGTCCGTTCTATAACATGAACATAAAATTTTCGAGTCAAAAACGTATGTCATAGGCAACCTCCTTTTTGAACATCACTTCAATCGAATGAACTTGGCTCAGAAAATATGCATTTTGTCAAAAGTTTACATTTTTGTTAATTCTGGCGTACTTTCGTAATTTGTTCAAGTTGAAGCTACACTGAACATTTGTTCTACAAACGTTGTCCAGTGAATCTGAAGCCAGTTGTGAAATTGATGGCACGAGGAAACACATAGAGAGCAGCTGTGGAGAAGCAAGGTACACAGACAACAATGAGGATAGAGAATATTTGAGAGATAGCCTCGGACAACGAGTTGGATTATCAGAAACAGAATGGGATGATGACGCACATGCAGGAGAGTACAGTGATCGTGACATCGAAAGATATAGCAAAAGAAATGCTGGAGAAAATATAGACAGACACAGGCAGACTGATCACGATGCAAATACAGATGGAAATACAGATGAAGATAGAGAAACTGAGCTAGCTACAGATGAAAATAGAGACACAGATCAAAGCTCATATGGAGATAGAGACATAACTCAAAAAAGAGACGAAGACACAGACATAGATAGCGATACAGATGATGATGTAAACATAGATAGAAGTTCAGACTCGGTTCGAAAAACTGATGAAGATAGAGACATAGATCGGAATACAGAGGAAAACAGCGACTCAGATCATGATACAGATGGAGATAGAGACACAGATCAAAGTACAGATGAGGACAGTGAAATAGATCAAGGTACAGATGAGGACACAGACTCAGGGACAGATAAGTATAGGGCCATAAATCAAAGTACAGATGAAGACAGAGACTCGGATCAAGATACAGATGTAAATAGAGAAATAGATTTATGTAGAGATGAGGACAGAGACACAGGTACAGATAATGATAGAGACATAAATCAAAGTACAGATGAGGACAGAGACTCAGATCAAGATACAGATGAGGACAGAGACTCAGATCAAGATACAGATGAGGACAGAGACTCAGATCAAGATACAGATGAGGATAGAGACTCAGATCAAGATATAGATGAGGACAGAGACTCAGATCAAAACACGGACAAATATAAAGTTGCAGATCGAAATATTGTCGAGGAAAGAAACACTGATCGAAAACCTGATGAAGAAAGAGACATAGATCGGAATACAGAGGAAAACAGCGACTCAGATCATGATACAGATGGAGATAGAGACACAGATCAAAGTACAGATGAGGACAGTGAAATAGATCAAGGTACAGATGAGGACACAGACTCAGGGACAGATAAGTATAGGGCCATAAATCAAAGTACAGATGAAGACAGAGACTCGGATCAAGATACAGATGTAAATAGAGAAATAGATTTATGTAGAGATGAGGACAGAGACACAGGTACAGATAATGATAGAGACATAAATCAAAGTACAGATGAGGACAGAGACTCAGATCAAGATACAGATGAGGACAGAGACTCAGATCAAGATACAGATGAGGACAGAGACTCAGATCAAGATACAGATGAGGATAGAGACTCAGATCAAGATATAGATGAGGACAGAGACTCAGATCAAAACACGGACAAATATAAAGTTGCAGATCGAAATATTGTCGAGGAAAGAAACACTGATCGAAAACCTGATGAAGAAAGAGACTCAGAGCAAAACACAGACGAAGATAAAGACCAATATCAAAATGCAGATGAAAACGGTGGCGACGAAGGTATAGATTCAAACAGCGACAGTGCACACGATCGAGCAGATACGAACGGCGCAAGACAAGTAGATGAATTAGATTCAATGGAGTCGGGTAATGGAAACAGTGGGGAGGATTACCCTTTTCTTCCTGATTTAGTTCTAGATAGAATTATCAGGACAACTGTTCAAAGGTATCCTTTTATGGTATTTACATTGAGGCAAGTGTGCCCTTTCTTCAGAAATACAGTAGAAGCAATAGGATACCCAATGATCCACTTGAATCCCGCTGTAATTGGTCACGTTCCTGGACATATAAGTGTACGTAGATTGTACGTCAGATATGGCAGAGGAAGTGGATTAGTCATGTATGTCAGAAGTATCTGTTCTGGTTCAAATAGACCATGGATTCATGCATGGCTTACACTTCGCCAGCTTAACCATGACTGGTACGAAATAACGGCAATTCATTGGCGCTGATTGCATTCACTCGAGACACTGAAACTTACTAACAGACTAGACGAGTTCATTCATGGGAATTTGTGTTTGGGATCTTAGTTTTGTTGCAAGGCAGCAACAGTAGAGAACTTTGAGGTAAATTAACATTTGAAACACTCTGTATTCTTGAAACAATTTTCACACATGAACATGTACATTAAATTTCGTTGACTCGGTTTCTTCCACATAACACGCACTCATACTGTTGAAAAGCAAAACATATTTTGGTAATTATTCAGCTTGACTTTAGACGTCTTCTTCATATTTTCAAATAACACCAAGTATTTAAACAGTAGAACACATCACCATGCTGACTGCTGAGGAGAAAGCTGTGTCTGGACAAAAGACAAATCTCTTATATTCTCGAAAATGAAGTTAATATATCTGCCCAAACAAGGCGATGACTGGCTGAAAACTTTCAAAGTTGCATAAAAACAACAACACCACCTTTAGTCGAGTATATTTGATTAGATGTTGCAAAATCCAATAAAGGTATATATGTGCTATTTAAAATTCATAGATATAATATTACGCTTGTATTGCAACTTTCATATGTTTGTGATAAACGTTATTATCTGTGTTCTATACTGTGACATAATTTTAAGGTTTGTCTCTTTCCGAACAATTGATAAGATCATTTATATAACACAATTGGGGCTATATGACCTTTTCGGTGTCGGTGCGCCGTAAAATTCAACAAACAAAGACATAATTTTTCGCTTTCCCCCTCTTGTTTATGTGTGAAAGAATGGTATAGTACTGGTTAGGAATTCCAGGAACAGTGTTAGGATATCGGATCGTCTTTACGTAACTTAAAACCCATTGGAAAGGGCATTAAATGCAACAAAGAAAGAAATAAAATGAAGGAATATGAGAAGTAAAATGAAGGAAGATGTTATATAAACAGACCGTCCCTAATGTCGTCCAAGTTTTTAACATTACTGACTGACTGAGTTTGGTTTTTACGCCGCTTTCAGCAATATTCCAGCAACATCACGGCAGGGACAGCAGAAATGGGCTTCACACATAGTACCCATGTGGGGATTCGAACCTGGGTCTTCGGCGTGACGAGCCAACGCTTTAACCATTAGGCTACCCCACGGCCCCTTTTTAACATTAAATCAGATCCTTTATCACCTATCTTGAAAACATACCTGTAGCTGCTATTATAACATATTCATATCCAAGCTCAGCATGCAATACAAGATATCAATGTGAACAATGCACACATAACTTTACCACATTAAAACTAGATTCAACAATATAGTTATTGGACATGTGATATCTTAGTGTTAGGCACACGTGTTTTCCTGTTTAACAATTAAATAAAAAAATAATAAATGAAAAGAAATAAAAAAAAAAGAAGAAAAAAATACAAAACAAAACAAAAAGCAAAAACAACAACAACAAAACAAAACCAAAAACAAACCTGCCACATAGTTCTCGACCTTGCCGCGGTTGGTAGGCTTTTACTAACGGAAAACATTGCCAGCTAGTAAGTTCTATTATAGCAGTATGGGTTTAGGGAACGTTACGGGTGAGCCACAACACATATATTGCCACCATTCTTCAACACGGAAACACAAATGCCTACACAGGTACTAATACACAAACCCACCAACATACCCGAGTGGTTACGGGATAGAATGGATCCACGGCAAACCCCACTTGTCGTACCTGTCATAATAGGCGGATTACGCCGTTACAGGGTAGGATGGCACTTGCAGGATCGTAAAAGGCGATCCAAGGGGGACCAACTTTTCACATATTTCCAAAGTACCATCTCGCTTTGTAATAAAATCGCCTAGGTCCGAAATGTTTTTGGACTCTGAAAATTTTATTACATAGTGCGTTAAGATGTGCAAAATCTTATTACATTTCGCTACTCAACGCGGTTTGTAATATACCATCAGAAAACTCCGAAATATTAACAGTTCATAAGATGGAACGGGTTTAAGCTGAAGTTTACACTTAATTAAGGGTGTAGAACACATATTGTCCTCACCGGAAGAAATATCTTCAACTTTGATTTTCAGCCATTTACCAGCCTTTGGCAAAAGTAACAAATCGCTTTGTAATAAAATCGCCTAAGTCCGAAATGTTTTTGGACTTAGAAAATTTTATTACAAAGTGCGTTGTTATTACATAGTGGGTTGCTACAAAGCTTCCTACCTTGATCCATTGTACGTTCGTCACTAAATGTGGTGGCAGCAGATCAAAATGTTAATAAAGAAGAAAATTGTTGCAAAGGATGAAAGAAAAAATATGTAAAATGCTGGACTTAGTGATATTTTTAGATAGGATATTTTGCCAACACGTAAGCAACACGTTAGCAACGCGTTGATCTTCTGGGCCCCGATCCACAAAGCATTCGTAACGTTACGACCTGTCGTACTTCTATAGTTTACCATAGGCTTACGAATGTCGTAGCGCTACGAACGCATTGTGGATCGGGACCCTGGATCTTTATACATGTACATGCCAACGGGGATTTCAGTTCATTTAATCAAGATGAAGACCAACTGGTAATGGCCAAACAAACAATTCACCTTTCAATGCATAACGGTTCAGACTGACAATAAGTATCCACGAGACTGTTTGACAAGAGAGATTTATAGTCAACATATCCGCCAAGTCGGGTAATATTCCAGACAATGATATCCATCAGACATACATAAAGAATCTCACACAAGTGTCTACTGATATCAATTATATCAACACGAGTTGATAAAGTTACAAGGCTTGCCGCGGATATTTTTTACCTTTATCAACGAGTGTTGATATAATTGATATCAGTAGACACGAGGGTGAGATTCTATTTATCATCAAAAATCATTCTTCATTAGTTTTTATTAAAAAATGTACATCTCTCAACACTGTACTATCATTAGACTTGCAGTGCAGTGATGTCATAGCAGTGTGACGTCGTCAAGTTGATGACGTCATAGCATTGTCAGGGCATTGTACAAAATCGACTGTCAAAACGATATATCCTAGGAGATATCATATGATCTTACACAAGCGATATCTCCTGTGGAACACAGTTTTGGATGATAAATTTAAAAGTAAAACGACTAAAATGTCACAGATATACAACTAGCATGCAACTTGCAAATATATGCTATTCAAGACAATACAATATAAAAAACTGACAACAGATCGCCGTTTACTGAAGATAGATCACCACACAAGACAGTCGGGACTTACAGTGCTCTTGAACATAGCTGGATTTACATCATACCTTCAGTCGCTCTAACTGGTTTTGTGTCAGGTTTTTACAATTTGTGAGGTACAGTCAATTATGCTCCAAAGTGTGTGCTCGAGTTTGTGTGACATTGACTTACCTTTACATATGGTTTGTCAGGTGTCATTGGTGGGGCACGTTCGTCTGCAACCCAAGGTAGTCTCAGGGGGCGACTTACGGGGGACTTCCTGATTCGGTTGATGCATTTCCCGACTGCGCAATGGATACTGATAATGTTAACCACGGTCTTTTGTGGTCAAAACCCGTTTTCAGAGCGTGCATGTTGCTGAATCTGATGTGAAACAACAGGTAACGACATCCTTACGTTGACAATTGACTAGCCTTTGCCTTTGTTTCTGATGGGTGCCACCAAGCTCCTTTATTTAAACAAACGGGAGCGGCACAATCAAAACCGATCCTACAAATCATTTTTTGCAAGATACGTAATGACATCGACGGTTTCCGTGTAATGAATCCTAAATGCAGTTTCATCCAAATGTGACTCAATAATTTATGACATTTATGAAGTCATTATTGATAACCACTCTCTTTCCCCTTTAGGTTTAAATTGTAAGATGTTTGGGTGCTTAAATGTATCAGGGTATCAAAGGTATTCGGAATAAATAAAATTCAAATGATGTACTTGGCGTATTTTGTGTATCTAACACGAGTAATAATGTTCAAAATTTGATAAGAGTTCGGCCGTATGTCCGACATGCTTCTTGTCCTCATTACCTTTGGTGCACATGAAAGAACACGTTGAATCACGTACACGTCACGTACCTAAACGTCAAGACGAATTCTTTACATTCCAACGTGCGTGTTGAATTTCCTTTCAACTTTGCTGTGGTTACTATCTGATGGAGACCGCTTCCGTGGTGTAGTGGTTAGAGCGTCTGCCCGGAGAGCGAAAGGTTGCGGGTTCGATCCCCGACCGCGTCATACCAAAAGACAGTAAAATATGGTACTTGTTGGTCCCTGCCTGGCGCTCGGCATTCATGGGTACAACAAGGACTGGTCGGCTCGGAGTCAGTATAATGTGTCTGAGTGGGGTATTCATGCTTCACTGCGGCATGGTATCTCAGTGAGCTAGCACTATAAAACCCGCTTCAGTCTGGGCTAGTACAAGCAGCCGCACATACACACACACACGCATGCACGTTGTCATATGAGCGAAATATTCTCAAGCACGACGTTAAACCCAATTTCACCTCACCTCACCTCACTATCTGAGGGAATAGTGCTACGTTAACGTCATAAATCAGGACAATGGTGGACGTCATTTGTCGTTTACCATAAGAGTATTAATTACATCCGTTTTGAATAGGCATTTAGAAGTTTGAAGGATATGGCAGTAGTTTTGTTTGGATAGCAACGTCTTATATTATTAGTGTTCCCTTACCCTGAATCAGCGCCATACTCGGTGAGGCATTGGGAGTCATATACACTAAA